ATAAGAAATACGATATAACTAATTAATTTTTTATTATCTGTTACATATAAAGCCATAAATTGATCGGCTAAAATGTTATTAATGGTTGGTTAATCATGAACTTTATAAGGAACTATAGATTATTTAGTGATCAGATTGTAAAAATTTTTTCTAAATGTATAGATCAACAGTCACTTTCTTTAAAGCATTTACAAGATAAATTTATATAAGAATCTTCATTGTTATGCGAAAACTCAAACGTGCTTTATTTGTGTAATACTTAACTATTTTAAATCGGTTAATGTAAATGGATAAATTCCAGAACAGTTGCTGCCTATTATCGTTAAAAAACTATCGTTTTTTTCCTTCTTCGTTTGTGTTTGTTCATGGAATATTTCCTTCTTGTGTAATGTAATTACCAAAGCCATTCTCGATAAAATTATCGATAAGTGCAATGTAATAAATATCAGAAAATCTTAATTATTAAGTGAATATAGGAAGAAAACTGCAATTCCAGGCATATGCAATTTCGTAGGAAAATATTTTATTTTCGATGGGCTACTCCTTAGACAAGCGACACAATAAAAGTCGGGCTAACAGCCAAGTCAAACTCAACATAATAAAATTCTATCAAAAAAAGGATTAACGGAATCTCTTGCTCTAGTGTGTTCTTCTTGTGTCTGGTTTCTATTTATGTCTCACCAGTGCGTATTAATGCATATAACTTGAGCTACAGTCCGTTGTGTATATAATTATCGCCTCCGGTGAGAGGGCAATCGTGTGCAGTCATGGAAAAATACTGATCACATGTTGTGCCAGTGCGCCGTTGCCGAGCTTATTGGTGTTCTCGAGCTGGCCACCCCTTCGCTTGTTTCTCTTTCAATCTCGACGGTCGTAATCAACTACGTCACCGCTCTGAGCTATTTGTATGTTTTATTTTTTACTTGTATAAAAAGAACATTAATTATTTTTCTCTTGCATAGGTCGTTATGAGTTGGCTCATGCTTATTTAATTTCAGTAGGCTTAGAAAAATACATTTTTATTTCATTTCTTATAAGCTAGTAGTTATCGGTATATTAAAGATGTTAACTTAGTAATGTTTAAAAAAATCTTCCTTACATTTGTTCTTCGATTTACTTATATATTCGTTAAGGTATTTTAAGCTTTTTAAAGATTTACTATCATTTTAGATATGATAAACTAATTTTTACTTTATAAATGCATTGATTATAAAGTAATACGAATTATCGCATAAATATACAAAAACTCTCAATAACGAATTATTTTATTAACACAACTTTTATATTTTAAAAATCAATTTTATCACATTAAATAAATATTAGAAAATTTCAATCTTTTCAAGCATTTAATGAATTAATTCAGTTAATAATTAAAAGGGAACTCATTTACATTTATACGTTAAAAATCATTAGTAAACAAGAGTTAACAGTACTGCAGCTAAATTAATAAATGCAAAGAACAGACTATAGAATTGCTTAAAGTGAATGTAGCTGTGTCATTCAAAATCGTTTTCTCCATATGCAGTTAAGAACGTTTAAAATTCGGCACTTTGTAAAGTATATAATTGTTATTTCTTCTATACATGATCACAGCTGTGTCTTATTTTCCAGTGCAGGAAGGGGAAAAAGCAAGGAGATCCGTATTCACCATCTGCACTTCTTACTCCCTGCTTCTGTTGTTTCGAACCATATCTACGACGTATTGGCTACATGTGCGTCGATCGCGATGGTTAGATATTGTAGTGTCACCTATAATAATACATCAGCTCAAATTGTCAACAGCGCGTGCTAGCTTTTCAACGGAAAATAGCGCGAGCGTTTGTTCTCGCTTTTACTACCTTTCGAGACTTTACCATGCATTAACTTTACGCCTTACTAAGAAGGTAAGAAGAGCCTATTCTAAATCGTTTTGTTTCTTTTTCCTTTCTATAGACAATTCTTTGTAGAGCGTTTTGCAATTCCAAAAACTAAAAATTTTGAGTTTGTCAAAAAATGACTGAAAATTGATTTTAGTCCACTACATCGAAACAAAATCAGTTGCTAGATATATAAACAATGTCTAATCATAATGGTATTAATCTAGCACTGTTAAAGGATCTACTTTCTATCAGTACGATTATCAATTTATTGGATAAATTTATAATACTTTAACTTATCTTTTCAGCGACGTTTTTATCATTCATATTGACGCTTTTTTCATGTATTTATCTCGTATAGTTTCATCCAGAATTTTAATGAAATGATTACTAAATGCTGGTTTTTCAATGATAATTGAATTATCATTCAGTAACATACATATTATATAAACTAAGTCATTTTAGATTTTTGTATGAAGAGATTTATTTATGTAAGTTAATTCGTTTAATACTTATTTAGGGAGTATAAATTAGCAATACAACACAAACATTTGTTAATAATTTTATTGTATTGTTAATTTTATTGTATATTAAATTGTTATTTAATAAACTACACATCAAATGTTAAAATATTCTTTTAAAAGTAAATTTTTCGTAAATAATTAAGTTTAGTAATAATTAAAATTAATATCTTTCAGATTTAAAAGGTTAGTTGGTATATATATATGATATATTCTTGTGATGACATCAAATTATTTTGTGTTATATAATTGTACGTAAAAATGATGTTATTTGTAAGAATTATAGTTTAGCACGATAATTTTATTAATATTATTAATTAATAATCAGATCAAAATACTGTATTTATGTTACTATAAAAAGTTAAAAAGTACATATAACATTGTTAATAAAAATAGCCGTAAGTAAAAAGTATAATAGAAAGTGAAAATGCAGATAAATAAACAGAACAGGGAAGTGAAAAGGGAAAATAAATTTGACGTCACTGGTGAAATAATGGGGGTTTGCTTTATTGTATCTTAAAAAAGAAAGTTTATGTATCTGATAGCTGCACCACATTCATCAGTACAAGTTGTGTAAACGATGTTAGAATAGTCAGACACGAGAGAGACAAAGAGAGAGAGAGAGAGAGAGAGAGAGAGAGAGAGAGAGAGAGAGAGAGAGGGGTTTAGAAGAGTCAATCAGAAGGAAAAGGCCGGTTAATGTCAATCTATCTGCAAACGCATTACTGTACCGTAGTTTGAAGATAGAACTGCACATAATAAACGTTTATTCTCTTATCGCATATGCTGAAAGACAATATCAGCTATTAACTAGTTATTCCTGTTTTAAATATTTTTAATCTTTGACAATAATAGCATTTAAATAAAAAAATAACATTTTTATACCAATAAACATTTTTAAAGCTTTTAGTTACAAACATTTACAAAATCAAAATTATAATATATATTAAATAATAATATGTATACATAATATAATATGTACTAAAATTAAAATGTAATTGCGTTAAATAGAGCCAAATTTCCGTTGAGTTTATGAATCGACCAAATGTATAGGCAAGTAGAACAAACATGAGTAACAGTGAATAAAAATGTAATGCTAGTCCACTTTTCTTATTTATTTATGGAATTACTTACAAGAATAAATAAGTATAATGAAAAAATAATTTTCTATGAATAAGTAGAAATGTAATCATTGTGTTCGCATTGTATTGATAAGGAAATATTTACATAATGGCTTTCTCAGTTTATTAAATGTGTTATAATAAGATAATGAATCTAATTCTAAAAACCAATTTTTATGCATAAAAATGCAGGTTGTGTTGTTATAATTTAAATATTTTTATAATTACCACCTAATACATTTCTGTATGTATAAAAAGAATTAAATTAAAGCAGAATTCAATGATCGTGTCATTTTAATAATACAGCAAATAATGATTACTTTTGTGAAATTTAAAGTAATTTAAGGATTGTATCAACAAAAGATTAAATTATCTAAAACATCTTTGATTTTATTTCGCAAAAATTATTTTATTGTTTTTTAATTTTTAAAATGAATATTTTTAAACATGAATGAAAACTTTTAAGTAATAAAATTAAAATAAAGTACTATTTTAATTTTAATCAGTGTTTATTAAAATTGTTTTATGTTTTTATAAAAAGATGTTAGTTTAAAACCATTAAAATTAATACAATATATAGTTTCATTAATTTATATGATTATATGGTTATTCGTTTTTAAAAGTAAGTCATTTTTGTAATATATACAGGTGATTAAGTTTACTTTGCACGTAAAAAGTCATAAATTTATTGAAAATGTTTACTCAAATTCATATTTGTGAAATGTGTATTCAATAGTTGCTTTGTCGTAAAGTATCCGTAGCCGATCATAACAAAGAAAGCCATAAGAGAAAAATAAGACTTGTAATGAATGGGATTGCTCTATAGTTTTCACATTCATAGTTTAACGATGCCTTTTCGTCTTTATATAGAAACTTAATAGTTGTTGATTCTAAAGAGTTCACATAAAAATGCAGACTTGTATACACACTCACGAAATTTTAGAGCAGAACACTGGGACTGGATAAATATCAATTATGATATCCAGGCTCTGTTGCTCGTATTAGTTTTCTGAATAAAATGTATTCTTTTAACGTACACGCGATACTGAAAAAACATCCTTCAGCTTTTTAGCCGCATGATTTTTCTTTGTCATTAGTGCTGTACAATTTTCTTTTCTCTTATATATTTAATGGGCTGTAGTTATGATAAATAGGATTATGTTTTAAGTTTACAGTTCTATAATTAAGTCATGAATTCAATTTAATACAGTAGATTTTTCGTATATAGCCATTACAACAATTAAATGCATATATATTTCGAATTATGATTTACAGTTTATTATGCAGTTGTAAAATATGTATAATAAAAATGAAATATGAGTGATGTTCATTCATTTTTAATAGTAAAGATTATTTGCAAATACTATAGTAACTTGATGTTGGGATTCATTTTCATTAGATGTTTCAAAAACTGTCAGGTACAGGGTTTTAAAAAGTGTTTACACTCCTTGAATACTTATATATACAAACAACTACTGACTTCGGCCTCGTTTGTTTTCTAGGAACCTACGTTGGGCCTTCAATTCCCTTAGCGCCTGCTAATGTAGCGACGAATGGTGGCGGTTCCCCGCTTCGTCCCAGAACGAGTCCACCCCCACCACCGCCACCATCTTCTCAGGAATCATCACAAGAAAGCCAGCAGTCGAATCATCATCAAGTAAGTTTTAATTAATTGTATATATATATAGTCCAAGTAATTGAAGTAATGTAAATATTATAAGTACGAATACAGATATATTTTGTTAGAACTAGTTTGCTGGTAGTGTAGTAGTATTTTGTTAAGAACTTATTCGACAATTTTCAAATATCTTCTATTTCTGTAATATAGAGAAAGATGTCGATTGTTTTGGGGTATTTCATAGCTTTTAAATCTTTTGTATTTTTTATGCCTTATATTAAAATTTAAACAATTAGTCCAACACAAGTACTACTTCCTTTAATTATTCATTATTCTTCGTATCTCTCTCTCTCTTTTTCTCTTTCTCTTTCTCACTCACTCACTCACCATACATTTTTTATTTATAATCTTCCAACAAATTAAAAAAATATTTGTACGTTACGTGAAAAACTAGTTATAAAACAATTTACTTATTATTTCAAGTTTTGCTATTAAATCGATACTTAAAATTCATGTATGATATATTTATTTATAAATAGACAACAAAAATAAAAATAATTTTTTTTCTAAAGAAATTACGTGATACTATTATAATTATTTGTTACAAACAATATGTAATTAATATCGGTAATATATATCGAATTTAATACAGTGTTTTATTGAGCACCAATCGATTTAATTGCATATGGTTAAAATGAGCGTTATCTACTTAATCTATAATCAATTTCTTAATAACAGAAATATTTTGTTGGAAGATATGATTCGAATAAAAAATTTATTTTATTAATTGTAAATTAGTATTCTACTAATATTATTAGAAATATACAATTGGAATAAGTATATTGAAAAATTATGTACATTTTGAAACGATTTAAGTTATCGATACGAATGTATAGTTTAATCCTAAATAATACAATAATAAAGTATGAAGTATGTTTAATATGTTTAATATTTATTTTAATCCGAAACAAAGTGTATCAGTGTAATAATTTGGTAGTTTAGTTTTTATATTAAGTGTTCTTTGATCGTGTAGATTCTCATTTCAGACACTATGTAATCTCTGATTGCTATTCTTTATTTTAACGTAAATAGATTTATTAATTAATTAGATTTACTTTGATTATTTTAAGCAGTTCTTTTTAAAATATAATAAGTAAAATATAAATATTGATAGATTGATTAAAAGAATAGAATTATTAAATAGTTATTGTAGTTATTGATAGCGTCTTAAATTGAGCGATGAAATTCAGTTTCCATCTAGTATGTATAAATATTCATTTAAAAATATTCCTTAGAAAGGCATAAAATTTGATAAATGATAAGAATTTATCATATTTTATTTTGACGTTTACCATCGTGGAGAAATAATGTATGTGTAATTCTTATGTAAAAGCATGAAAATTATTGAAGAGAACAATTGCAAGTTTCTTATGTAATGTGATCATCTTTGGTGCACACATTGGACATTCGATCAAACTATGCGCCTTTCTTCCCTTTCAACCTTGTATTGATAACTAGTATTACTGTCAAGTTTATACATGAATCCTACGTAATGTACTTAAAAGTGTCAATTCGTGAGTGATGACTTATGGAAAGATAACAGCAAAAGACAACAGAAAGACATTTAAAGCATACAATCGATATTCTTTTTATATTTTCGAAGAGAAGAGATGAGAATGAGAATCCGATAACAAATACGGAAAAATATAGGAAAATACTATGGCATATTCGCTAAGTAAGAGTGTAATGAGTACCAATGACCATGTAAGTGCGTGATGTCTGTTTTTATTGCACTATTTGTATTATTTTATTTTCAATGCCAAGTTTTGATTGTTATATTTTTTGTGTTGAATCTTTATGAGTTTATTACAATGGAATAATAAGTTATTGTTCATATTTTCGATAGAAATTTTTAATATACTGACGATTTCTTGTTTTTATTTGCTAGTATCTCGTGACTTCCTTCAGTTTTTTATTTATTTTCAATATTTATTTATATGATTATATTTGACAATGTTTAGATAGAGTAATGAATTTTAGTTATTGTTTAAACTTAAGTGTTTTATCCGATTTAAAAATGAATTTTAATTGTGTATATTGCTATTTGTAATTAAATTATTTTAATCTTTTACTTGGGATTACAAGAGGATAGTAATGTTATTAGTTAAATTATATCTGTTGAAGTATAAAATGAAAGAACTGTCAACTTGTGTATCAAAAAATGTTTTAATTAATAATTACTATTAAAATATTAATATTTATGATTATAATTTTTGATAAAATAAATAATATATTTGTACATGTGTATTTTATATATTGGCACTTTACTTTTTTCTTTTAACATTAAATTAGAATATTAAATTAAAATATTTAGAAATTGTATTAATAATATAATATCAAGAAGAATAAGGGAATATATACATAAGTATTTTTTAGAAATTTAAAAAAATGCTCAAATACCTTGTAAATGCCTAAATGAAATATTGAATATTTAAGGGTACAGGAAGTGGTCCGTCGCCGATGGCTGCATTGATGTCCGTTGCCGATAACCTAACATCTCCAGAGCCGATACCACAGCCACCGAATAATCCAAGCCCAACCAGTCGAAGTCCGCCGACGACTGCCGCGAATGCACAACAGCGAAGTGCATCCAGAGGCTCACAGCATAGTCCTAATAGCTCAGGTGATTTTCTTTTTCGTTTTTTTTCTTCCAGTATAACTATAAAAAAATTGTAAACTCATTTAATTTCGATAAATAGTGTAGTTAAATCATTTTTAAATTAAAACAAAAAAGAATATTTCAAATGTTTAATATCGCAATTACGATATAAATTAGAAATCTAAGGTGATGTTAACAGAGTTTTCTAATAATATGATGCTGTATTATTCAGAATATTGTATTTAACAAAAATCCGTCTCGTCGAACTTATATTTTTAAGATAGGTTTGCAAGAAAACTTGAATAATTTTAAATTATTGATCGTTTTATAAACAAATTTGTTTAATATTCGTATTTTCAGTATAAGTATTTTTTAATATCTTTACGTAACATAATACCAAAATTCAAGTATATAATAGATTTTTTAATCTTATATGATGACATAAAATATCCGTTAAATCTTGAGGAACTAAAGTTGCTATTTAAACATAATTAAAATATAAAAAAAAGTTTTTCACTTGTAGTGTTGTGAAATAAAATTTATTATTTAAAATTTACACTTTTTTTCAATTTACAAGAAATAAATTGTTGTAAATACTTTAGACTTGTAAATAGTTTTAAAATTAATTTAGTAACAGTGTACGTTTTAATTATCTGGGTCAAGATATTTTTTATGACATATTTGTTTGTAGAAAAGAATTGTAACAATAGATAATTGTATAATTTAGGGACACGGAATAATGGCGTGTAACATAAAAGTGTAATTGGAATAGTTTTTGTGGATGTTATAGGTTCTTCGGGCAGAAGGTCAAGCGGCTCGCGTCACGTATCTTCGACAACAGTAACAACGTCATCCGAAGGTGCGGTAGCACAGTCGGCTGGAGTTGAACCAACTGCTGCTCCTACTCTTAAGTGTACGCTCTGTCAGGAACGTCTCGAAGATACGCATTTCGTACAGTGTCCAAGTGTGCCACATCACAAATTTTGTTTCCCTTGCAGCCGAGACAGTATCAAGCGCCAGGGTGCCGGTTCAGAAGTAAATATATTTAAATTTAAATTTTTTATTTTGGTGCAACTAGATTTTTTGCTTTTAGTAATTATCATTAAATTTTAATTTCTGGAAAAATCTGTAAGATTGTATTTGTAAAATGAGCTTTCGCGTATTAAGTTTGTTTGTTGATATCTGTAAGACGATCTTAAAATTATACAACTCAATAAATAATATCATAGAATAATATTTCAGTAATCATTTTTTGCTTAAGCAAATTTTTAATTTACATCCATTATTTATATATTGAATTTGCCTTTATGTAAGTTTCTAAAGTCTGGAACATGGCTCTAGCCAGTGAACAATCAATTTTGAATTTGTTGCTAAATAATTAAACTAACTTACAATTATATATTTTATAGGTTTATTGTCCGAGTGGTGAAAAGTGTCCTCTGGCTAATAGTTCGGTTCCTTGGGCCTTTATGCAGGGTGAGATAGCGACAATCCTTGGCGATGACACTGTGAGTACAGGTCTCAAGGTGAAAAAAGAACGCGAGACTTAAGAGCAGTAGGAATGATAATTCAAGTGGTTCTAGGATTAAATTCTGATGTTCTTTGATGATGTAAAACAATTTACGTTACTATTGTTTAATCTGGGGTACGACTTTTAATGACATGCGCTCTTATCGAATAAGTCGTATTGTCATATAATTGCTATATCTTTAGTGGAATATATGAGGAAAAATCGAATGGAAATTTATAAATCGAACGATCGCTAGCGACGAATGATGAAAATCTGGCTTTATGTGATGTGCTGTAATAAAATAAGATTATTTTGCCGTAACAGTTTTTAATATTTTTATGTCGATATTGTATAGCTAAAACAATGACATTTAAATTATTATAAATAAGATCAAACACGTCATTGATTTTAATATTCTTTGCATTAGTGATATTTCTTTTTAATTGTTGGACAAGCAATATCAGCCTTAAACACAAATATTTGTCAAAGTTAATAATTGGTATATTTTCTGTAAATACGTGATGAATCTTTGAAGAAATTAGATATATGATACTGAAAATTATAAGATAATTATTGAAAAAATTAAGATAAATAAAATATAAAATTAAAAAACGGAACAGTAGGATAAACATTAAATGAGTCGAAATAAAATTTAGGATCACGTTAACGGATAAAACGAATTGTGTCCAATTTTGGATTTGTACTTAGATTCGATCATCTATAATTATAGTGTATTTGTAACGCGTATCTTTTTAAGTTAATTATTAAGATACAATAAGAAGACAAAATTTTGTTATTTTTTAACACATTTACATAGATTTTTTTTTCATTTTTATAAGTATTTAAATACATTGCTTTCTTACATTTTCAATCATCATTTCAACTTACGTTCGAAGGTCGGTTAATCTTCATTTTTTATATTTCTTATCTTATCTCGTTTTACACATACATTGTATAATTAGACATGACGGACATTTTAACCCAACGATTATGGGTTTTCTGTACATTATGTATATGTGTATATATTACATTATATAATATAATTAATATTATTACAAAAATAAAAGTAATCGTTTGTGAAGCACACATCATTTAATGTATAAGAATAATCTTATAATTGCGTTATTCATTAAATTATGTTCTTCACATTTAATGTACAAATTATAGTGATATCTTTAGATACGCATTTTCTTTCACTAAGGCAATGTTCAACATACATTGTATTTTCTATAATTTACTTTATAATTTCTTTACACCTTGTTTTTTTACATCTATGTTAATAAATACTATTATCAAGTAACAATAAATAAATAAGGAAAATCAATTATGAAAATATCAGTGAAGAAGAGACTATGCTAAATTCTTCTGCAAATTGTTCCATGTCGACAGGCTTAATAAAAAATAAACTTGAGAGTGAATGTCAAAAAAGTGAAATCGTCATCAGTTTCAGTTCAACGCTAGGCTTTAGCGAGAGCCCTCTTATTTTTCAATTTTTAAGTAAAAATAAATAATAAGAGTAAACGTTATAGTTAACATTAAGTCATTCATTATGACATATTCTGCAATAAAAAATATTTCAGAACAAAAATTGGTAACACCTAATGAAAAATAACTAGATTACGCAAAGCTTATAAGTTAGATTTTGTCGATATCGACTTGCTGAATATATAAAGGATATATAATCATAACAACGGAAAAGGACAGAACTTGTTCACACTTTAGTTTTTTAATACTAGATTTTAGGTGACAGCCTTTAGGTTTTTTATTTATAAAGTGATAAAAACCAATATATGGGAACCACACACTCGCTACTCCCGAAATGTTTTTAAAAATGAGGATCGTATGTTTTGCTCGTTTCCAGGGTAATATTTATTTATATTATTTTTTTCTAATATTCTGTTTTTATATAATAATTGATGCAATAATTATATCAAATTACGTCTTAGATACAAGAATTAATCTGTGCGCGTGTATACATATATATATGAAAAGAAAATAATAAATATATATATATATATTGCATTATAATTGTAATGGAAACATAAATCGGTTAATAGAAAAGTTGTTATTAAATAATCTTTACATGATTCATGAATCCATCATGCATTTTTAAATATTGAAACAAGAACGTACTTGAGTCTTGTATCAACTTCTTGATTAGCGTTTCATTCGTTCTTTGTTTCCTCCCATTTATGTAATTGTAAAATTGAAATTTTATTATATTTCTTATATCCAGTTGAGATGTGTGATCCAATAATTTTTTCTCAATGATTTAGTAGTTTCTATTGTCAATGCTGTGAACTAGTTTTTTTTCTTTTTTCTTTTTTTTTATTTTTATAACTACCATTCATATAATTATTATAATACTTCATTTTATTTTGTTAATATACTTCATATAAACAAGAAATAAATATTTATTCGTGTACCTTAATAATTGCAAGTCTGACTTATTCTGGATATTAGTACGCATGTTAAATTGCAATAGAATGCGAACTAAGTGAACGAAATATTTAATCTATAGAGTTTAAAAACAAGTGTGTTATTTATGATTTCTGAATATAGATTTCAATTGTAGAAGGATTAAAGCATTGAAAATGGATTTTTGCATATAAAAAAAATTTGCCATTTTTATTTAGACAAGAATAACAATATAAAGTAATAAAATGAATAACAAAATATAGACAAACATGTGGATGCAGTAATTATTAATTGAATGTTAATATATTCGCTCAACGGATCGTGTAAGTCAGGAAAAATGTGACTGCAGTTTTGCGCAGTTCAAATTGTTTAACTTTTTAACTTTGAATTTCTTTAATTACAAATGTAGTCAAAAAAGCTATATTCTTTGTTACTTATTTTAACAAAAATCATTCATTCTTAAATAAAATAAATATAAAAGTTAACATATTTGAAATCCGATGCATATTACATTTTTTCTGGTCTTACTGAATACAAAGTAGGCACGTCTTTCTGAGATGTAAAACGAAATAAAGTTGAAAATGAAAAAAATAAAAGACGAAATGTCATTCCCTACTTTTGTACGACCTAATTCATTTTCTATAATTCTTGCTCAACCGCAATAATATGGCCATATAAGTGAAGAAAAAGATACGTAAGCTTATTAATTATTGTATTAGCGAATAATACGATTTTCTAGTGGATCCTAATTTCAGAAATAAGTTACACTGTACTATTTATCGTATATATGCATATTACAAATACAAAATATATGTGTTGGTGTGTAGCAATCTCTGACTTATTTTTTTGAGTAATTCAAATTTTATAAATTTTATCCTAATTTATATTATAATTTTATTAATAAGATTCGTTATTGCATTTTTTAATTTCTTTTTGTTCCTGTCATATTGCCTTTTGCGTTTACTTATATAAAATAAAATATTAATATAAATGTAAGAAAATTGATTGAATGTAGTATGAATACTGATATTTGAAATTTGATATTCCTATAGATACATTCTTATTCTTATCTTTGTTAGAATTATTTTTATTAATTTTATTATTGCATGTATAGAGTATATATAATAAAACGTACTGCTTTTCTCTTATATTTTTTCAAAATATTTAATCAGTTTTTTACCTTGAAAATATTAATTTAGTAAAAACTTTTATTTTACAAAATTATTTTATTATTAAAAATACCATTAATCTGTTTATATTAGTATTTATAAGATGTATCTAAAAAATTTTACTTATATTTTATTTAATAAAAGTAAATAATATTAATGTTTTTTATAAAAAGAAATAATTTAGTTGGTTTTTAAGACTTTTCTTAAATTAAATATAATATTTAGTAATATTTCAAATACCATTACAGTATAGTTTTACAATTTATAATTATTTTAAAGTTGTATAGAAAATTCATACTTTATATAAAAATTGTGTTTTTTAAAAAATTTATAAATGCTAATATTATTAGTATGTTATTATATAAATGTAGTACTTGATAATTAGATTTAATAAATCGGTGTTTGTTTTATCTAGAATAAATATTATTTCATGAAAGATAATCATACTAATTATATATTTTTAACTTTTGAAGACTACTAATTTATTGTAAGCTCCTACGAAATATACATATTATTTCCATATATATGTATATAATTACATTGAATTTAATACTGTAAAATATGAAAACTTTTTTTGGAAAAATTTATTAAAAAATAATATTTTATAAAAACGAATTTAAAAAATTTAAGATAAGTTCTTTAAAGCTTTGAAAATTTTTAATTTAATTATACGTTTAATAAAAATTATAAAAATTTGAAAATTAATTTATGTTTAATTTTGAAATCATTCTCCCGTACAATATACTATGTAACATCGTAATATGTAACGTAGTCATCCAACAATATCAAAGGCAAAAATTAAAAAATGAAGCTTAAAAAAACCTGAAAACTGAAACAGATTCTGACATGGATTGGTATATAACCACAACTTTGGACAAGATAAAGTATAAAAAGTATAGATTCAAACATTTGGTATGACAATATTTCTTCAAAATTAAAAAAAAGTAGTTAAAATGAATTTTTTTCTGGATATAATAATAAAATTGTGTATTTCATTATATTTATTATAATAATTAAAATATTTTAAAGAGGAATAAGAATGCATCTGCATTTAAAATTGAATTTTTTTAAAAAGATTAATATCTGATTTTTTGTATAAATAATTTTTGTTTGTAATAATAATAAAAAGAGTAATAAATTATTAAAAGTGTGTTTGTGTATATAAAATATATATAATACCATTAATGCTTTAGTAAATGTCTACAAATGAGTTGAAGATATTGACCAACAATTGTTAAAAATTAAATACTAGCTCTTTATTATCTCTGAATTAGAAATAAGTAAATACTTAATTTATTGATTACAATAAAATGAAATGTATCAAACGATATATTTATTCAAAATTTTATATGTGGTTTACATATTTTTACATTATAGTAATTTTTTTTAAATCATTAAAAAGGTTCATATTTTATATATAATCATTCCATTAAAAATGAAATTTTAATCAAAATTTTTGTGATATCAATAAACTGATAGTGATAAATGTAATAATATAAATAGTACATAAAAATTAGATTTCATAACAATTGATATTTTCATTTTTTTTTTTTTAATAAGCATATACAGTATATATACTTTTAAGTAATAGTAATAATATTGGCTAATTATACATTTATGAATTTTCATTTTAAAAATTTACTTTCTAATTTATTTAAAATATATTTTAGTAATAAGTAGATTTATCGGTTTCCTTATACAGGTTATTTTAAGAAGCAATATTAATTACCTAGCAGATAATTTTTATTATACTTAAATATATATCATATAGTAAACAGCATTGAGTATCTATTTAGACACGAATCCTCTTGGTTTATATTATTTATTATATTTTTCATATAAAATTAACAAAATAAATTATGCAAAACTTATTTAGAAAATGATGTATTTAAATATGTACAGATATAACTTTATATTACGAATCAATTACATTGTAAATAAAAATTTATATATATCGATAATAGATTAATTAAAATATAGAAATATTAATTTTGTTCATCAACAATAAATATTATCTATTTATATTATTACATATTTAAAAAATAGATGCTTATTAGTATACATGAAAATAAATTTAAAGAAAAGTACACTAGAATATATAAGAAAAGTATATTTAATATACTTTATAAATTTATTTTGATTAAAGATATTTTATAAAGGTAGTCAACATCTTCAGCTTATATCTTACTACGATAATGTTGCAATAACATTACTTGACTACACATTATATAATATATAATATATTATTTGGTTTATTTTACTATTAAAAATTTATGAAATACAAATTTACTGTAATTTCTACATTGTTTGACTTTCATACTGATACAGATGCATATTTTATAGGCATAAAGTATAGATACTATTCGTACTCATTTATTATAAAATATACGTCTACGTAATCTATTACGTAAGTGTACGTAAGTCTATTCGCAATAATAGATTTATATAATAATATATTAAATTAAATAAATTTAATCGCAACTGGAATAAACAATAAGTATAAAAAATGAATGTAAGACAATTATGAAATAATTTAAGTAAATGTACAATTACTAAATTTCATTTTCTTCAATTATTGTTACAAAAAGGAATGCTTTATCAAAGCAAAAAAAAACAAAAACATTAGAAATTCCTTAAAACATACGATACTATTATTGTATAGTAAATATGTATTCATAAATTGCAAATCTAAAACAAATATTGAATTCAGAGAAATTCATTATATATGCATCTTGATAAAGATCTCTAAAAAAATAATCGTTTAATCTTTATCAGTGATTCGTTTAAGCTTTTCCACACAAATTAAGTAGTATAACATTATATGTGCATATTACGCATTATGTGTACTACTACTTTGTCGTTCACAATTTTATACGTTTAAAAATGCATTCGTGGCGAATAGGATAAAAGGTTGTCGATTATCACTAACCCTAACCTTATAAATGTGTCATGTGCTTTATTACGTGTAAATTACCAGTGCGTAGAAAATTATTTATTTAGACTCATTTATATAGCGCCAAGAGGGAAAGAAGAGTAGATTTTCTAGTACTCTTTTTCAGTCAGTTATAATTTGTACGTTAAATGTTTAAGATCACATTGATGCAATACTGTTATATTTAAAACGTTTGGGAGTTTAGTGGTTACCATTTTCAATATCATCAGCAATGGATAACGAAAAAAGTGTTATTGGATATTGGATATCCGAGAAAAAGCGTCAGAAATTCAATTGGGCGGAATTTTGCGATATTTGTGCCAAAGAAGGATTTGTTTTGAAAGCGGTGAGAATATTTTACTATGAACATATTTTTTACATATATCATCCAATTACATTATTTAAATTTATAAGAATTACATATTTTTGTAAAGATCTTGTAATATTTTCTTTTACAATTTTTTTCTGTATTTATAATGTATTGTTTTTTATACTATTATTATTGTTAAAAATATTATGAAAATACTGTTGTACTGTTTTAAATGATTAATTTTTTTAGAGCTATATTATAGTTTATATTATAGTATTGCAATAGACTTGTTTAAAAATTATCAAACAAATATATACTTTTTTATAATGTATTTTAGATCATTGGTGAAGTTCATTATTTAAGTTTTTAAATAAGTTTTATTTAAACAAATATTCATATGTTGCTTTTATAACTATATATTTTTAAAGGAAAATAATAACATTGTTTATTAAGTTATTATAACTTCTTAAGATATATATATATCTTATTTATGGATTTTAGAAATATAATATTTTTAAATAATAATATAATTATAATAAATATGAGAGGTGATATTTTTAGTGTTATAAAAATTAAATGTATTGACTTATTTAATTAGTAATTTAGAAATAAAATAAAAATGTTTATCTAAATGGTTTACAATAGTCTACAATGGTTTAAATAATTATTCTGATTTATCACAATCTATTATTTTATATATAAGGAATATTATTATAATACTACAATCTAATTTTTATTTTAGTATAAGGAATTTCAAGTTGAGTTTTAAATATTGCTATTTTTGGTAATTTATATATATTTTAATTTATTTTATAAATACATGAATTTGACTTTCTTTAATTTTTTTTAACAGGTAAACGAGAATAATGCACCTAAATTCTTATAAGTAAAAATTTAATATTTAGACTGGATAGGTTAGAAAACCAATTTAAGAGTGAAAAAACCAATTCTTTGTTTTCAGTATGTTTCAGCTCAAATTATATTTATAGAAAAATTTAGAATAAACTTGAAATTATAAAACTGAATAAATTTGCAAAATCATTGATTTTATAATTTGAATAAGGTGTATGACCATTATAATATATCTTTATTAATATAAATAAGAAGTCATATATCAAATCATTTTTTTTACATCTGCAGTTGAGGTGTTTGATAAACAAGCAAATGGGTGATTATTAATGAAAGTTATTACATTTCTATGTGCAACTATAAATGTAAAGTACAAAAAAATTTATTTCTATTGAAAAATGTGTTAATCCATTTTGTGCTGCATCAAATGTCATAATATACCTTTTACCTCATTTTAATATGTAATTTCTATGAACTTGATATTTTGGTTATTGATATTACTTTTATCATGTATGTTTAGACGGATCATTAAAATCTCTATACAAATGTCAAAATAATGATTTGTTAAACCATTTTTGAATATGACATTTCTTAAATAAAAATTTCTATATCTTATCATGCCTGATATATTCATATAAGATTTAAGATAATATTTATTAAAGTTTTAAAACGTTTTTATTAAAACGTTTTTAAATTTCGTCTATAATAAAATTATATTCTTACTTGAGACAAGTATAAAATTTGTAAATATATGTCATTATAATATATTATTAGAGTCAAATTATTTTATAAAGTAATAAATTAGTTGAAAATAAATAATAAATATATGGATCGGTTATCTATGCACAAAGATTGAAAATTTAAATAAGTATCAATTGAGTACGTAAAGCAATGTTGATTTACAAAAAAAATTTAAGATTTTATTTGAAATTAATCGTTAAATTACTATTTTAAAGTACAACTGTGTTTTTAAATTAATAACTATTTCTGATTTAAAAAAATCATAAATTGCGATTTCAAATTTATAATATATATATATATATATATATATATATATATATATCCGCTATGACTTGCCCACTATTCGCGTAATTAATAAGTATGGGATATTTCGCAGTTTCTATTGCTAATTTTAAGAAGAATAATAAAGTATCTGAAATCTTTCCAGATTTCTATATAAAAAAAGAAGCTTTGCAAATCAAAAGGAAAAGTTGAAAAAACGTGTCAATTATAAACATTGTCGAGGAAGAATGCTTTGATCATTGACTATCGTGCTAACCAATCTAATAATGTAAATACTATTAAAATAAAATAAATGCAAAAATATATGATATATATGCATTGTATTTCTTTGTCTACTGTTATGATATAATGCTTATAATGATTTTAGATATGTATATGCGTGCTCGTTTCAAATTTTCATCGGGAAAAAAAGGACTAAATAAAGGATAATATTAGATCAAGAACCAGACGGTAATGTAAAATTAAAAAAAGTCAGTTATTATATATAAATCTATTGTTTGATTATAATCCAAATAATAAATATATTATAAAATAATTCTAAACTATAAATAAGTAAAAAAAAATGTCAAATTTTTATTTTATTAATTATGTTAAATAAATTAATTAATTTTAATAATTAATGTTAAATTTATAAAAATTACCTCAAAATATTATATAAATAAAAGATTTCTTACACAAAAAGATAATTACACGTCTTATACGTTCAATCGAGGATACATTTTCTCAAAAGTTATAAATCAATTGTTTCGAAAATATATAATAAAATTTTATCAAAAAAATAAAATAAATCGATATAATAAAGAAACCATTAAAATTTTTGTATATATACTTGCATTATTATATTTTTAAAATAAATGTAAACAGTCTTAGATTTTATATTGGTGCAGATTACTTGAAAATTATCGAACAAAGTGTTATTAAATTAAAGTTAAAAAAAATAGTTTTTATCCGATTAATCAACAAAATGTAAAAATTAGTTGCTTTTAATGATCTAATTTAATGATCCAATATATTTTTTATGTGATCTTTAAATAAACTCAATATTATTTATATTTATATCATACTTTTTAATAATTGATAGCAATTTAATTTTAAATTTTTTGTAATTTGATTTTTGTCTTATTTTAATATTATTTCTTATGTATATTGTATATATTATATATTTCAATTTTTTTCTTTTATTCTTCTAATATTTTATCTTTAAATTTTTTTATTTCATATTCTTAATTTTTTTATATTTTTTTTCTTTTGCTTTGGTTCTTTAGCATTTTATCATTTTTACACCCTATTTTTCTTTTTCCTTAAATATTTTATATATTATTGTATTAGATTTTTATATTTCTCTTTTTTATATAATTTTCCAAGTTCTCTACTCAGGTTTCCTTCACTTTTTTATTTTTTCCTTTTAATATTTTTTATTTATATTTTGAATATTATTGTTCGTTTTATCTATATATATAAATCTACTTACTTCAATTTCTTCCATTACTATTTCTTTAGCTTAAATAAATCCAATACTGATATACATTTATTTAGTTTCTGTTTAATTTATTTAAATATTCTTCGATTTTTAATCCTTCAATTATAATACAAATTAAATTTCCTTTTCATTAGTATGTGCATGTTTTTTATTCTATTGCAGCTTCTCTTGAAAATGTTTTTCTACATTTATTTCCAAACATCTATACAATTTCATATAGGATTATATCATTGATTTACATATTTGTAATAATATTACTGTAATGATTAATATTTACAAACTATTATTAATACTATAAATATTTAATTGATTAAATCTATATATAGTGATAACAATTAATAACCACAAAATTTTAAGAATATTCCAGTTAACTTTCATCTAAATTATATATAATTTGAAATAGTTCTGTTGCATTTTATACTATATGATTAAGAGCGCTATTTGTGAATTAAACGCTTAGATTTTTTTGATTGTCGCAATTTTATCTTTTTATTCTTTACATGATGGAAAGTTGTGTTATGTGAATTAGTGAATCAGAAATAATATATAGACTTGTGTTTTTGTTCTGTACAAAAATCTCTAAATACAAAAATAAAAACTGTAATTAATTGAGTCTTAACGGTTAGATTTAGGATGTAACAAATGTTTCAATCTACTGATCTAGAAGATCAGTCCACATATCATTTCCAGTGAGTCCAAGATTGTTGAAATATTAGTTTATACAGTAATCTGCAAAGATAAAAAAGGAAAATAGTATTGCAACAAAAATTCAATATTATGGGAGCCAAATATGGCCTTTGCATTTATTTTCAAAAAGAATATTTCTATACATGAAAGTATAAGCGATTGCAACGATGCTGAAAATATCAAATTATTCGTTTAAATAATATATAAGTGGCAAGTAGATTACTATATAGCCTTGAAATTACTAATTTTATTTCACATAAGAAACAATTTTTTACTACAGTTATAACTAAGCAGAGATTTAAATATGTTTTTTCCAAGTTATGTTATTTGATAAACGCGTGGGCACAAAGATAAGAAAAACAACCGAACTAATTTATTTAAAAATTTTAGATAGTTACTTTGCACATAAAAATAATTTTCTTAAAATCCTTCGGTTATCTATTAGATAATCTAGCTTAGTAGCTAAATATTTGTGTTTTCTTTTTTCTTTTAGATGATGGAGTTATAAGAAATCTTGTTCTTCACAGTATGTCTTCAATAGTCTATATATCAGCTATTGCAGTTTCGTTGTTTAATATTTTTTACTAAAGTATAAGAATTAAAAAAGTTTTTCTAAAACATATATGTTTTGATGGAGAAAAAATAAAATAAAACATTCTTGGAAAATCAATATTCTTCGAACCTCTAACAAAATATAATTTCTTAATTATACTACACATATCAATTATGCTAATAACCGTATTGTAGCAAAGTACTTGATTTGAATATCATACCAATCTATATGGATTTGGTGCTTTTTTCATTTCAGTTCTGTTAAAAATGATAACCGAGGAAAGTTTATTTTCCAGAGCTTTGACGACAAGAAGAAACTTAGAAAGCGAGAATGAAAATCTACCAATGCAATTAAAAAAGGATATATATTATCAATCCATTTAAAAAAGATATATTTATATATATATATATATATATATATATATATATATATATATATATATAGCTATAGTTAATAGACCTATAACAACAGTTACAGATTCTCTAATTATAATATTACAATCTATAAGGAGGATACAATTATCTTTTGGATTTTATTTAATTATGTATGTAGATAAATTTGATTTGAGTTAACATTCCAGCACTTGGACTCATTGTTCGCAAGTATGTACAAAAATCATCGTCTTAATACGTTTATTGTATAGTATTAAAATAAAATTTTGTTATATGTAGATTTAATTATATAAAATAATTTAAAAGATTAACATTATTTTCTAATAAATATATTCAATACAAATAAGAATTAAATAATATAGAAATATAATAATATTACCATCATAATTTATTAAAATTATATACAATTATTTATTGTGATATAAAAACGACAGAATATTTTACAAACTACGATTGCTACAATTACTTCTTACTTTCATATATTTTTCTATATTTTCTGTTTGCTATATTATATAACTATTATTAGTTTCTTTTTTTCTCTTTCCATTAACATTCTGTATTTATTTGTATTTCTATTATATACAAAAATTAATATTTTTCTCGTTTCAATCTAATCTTACATATATTATCAATATTTCGAATATCTTTACGTACTATTCCATCTGTTTATTATTTTTTTTTCAGATCTAATGAGTATTAATTATGTGAATAAAAGCAAAATTCGTATATTTTTAGAAATATTTTTATTATTATTTATTATATATTTAATCTTATTTTCTTGTAATACTACTATTCGTTTAATTTTTTTGTAATTTCATACTTGTTAAGTGATTGCACAAGATCTGTCTATTGACATTATCAATTATCCTGTATAGTTCATAAAACATTTAAATTTTATTTAATGTAGAAGTCCTTTTTTTATCTAACATTTAATTTATAATTTATATTATGTTTACTGCTTCCGTCACTTTTCTTAAATAAAATCGTTATTCAAGTTTTTTATGACTTCCATTAATCCCTTGTTTTTTATTCTTACGTCTACTTGTGTTTTTACGTTTTACTGATTAATATATTTCATATCCATTTTTTTTAATTTTTATTTATCAATTATTACGTCATTACATTTTTACTTATCTATCTTAAGCTTTTGCTCAAACTCCGGAAAAATGTAATATCTAATTTTCCTTAGATTTTTAAATCTAAATAATATTCATTCTTTATTACATTATTCTTTCTTATTTCATACTTTATTATTTTACGTTAATTCTTAATTTTCTTTTCTTTTAAATTTATCTTCTATTCATCAAGAATCGCTTCTTATTTTTATTATATGTATTTTGTTTTATTATTTTTACTTTTTCAATTTTTTATCTTAGATTCAAATTTTTTCTTTTGTGTAGAATTAGGGATACATTTATATTGCTTGCTTACTATAAACTCGATACTTTTAAACTAACTAAAATTAACAATTTTAGTTTAAATTACGATCTACTACCAATACACAATTGTTAATATTGCTTCGTTATAAAATGAAACAATTTTGTTTCTATTTTATGGTGACTATAAAATTCCAAAAATTATTTTTATTTATAAAACGTTTATATATAATTTTATCTTTGATGTTTTTCTTCTCTTTTATTCTCATATTTTTATTTATATATTTAAAATAATCAACAATAGTTTCTTTTATTTATTGTATTGTTTTAAATATATTTCCTATAATTATTGCAAATAAAAAATTCCATTTATTTTTCTTTTTATTACAATTTTCGTCTTACTTTGTTATTATTTTTTATGTACATAAAAAATTTTCAATTAAATTAATTTTAAAATTTAGAATAATATACCATTATTTTTAAATGGTACGTCTTTGATCTATTATATGATTTCTATCATATCGATTATATCAATTCATTGAGCTAATTTTACAGCTTATTATGAAATATTTTTATTATATTTTATACATATATTTTTAATATAGTCTTTTCTTTTATTTATTTTGAATTTTCTATCAATTTTTTTTAATATGCTATTTAATGACCTTCAATTTGTTTGTGTTGGTGTTAAAAAAATTAAAAAAAGTTGTACAGCATACGTTTTATACTAATTAATACCAATTTATAAATGTTTTTTAATTAAAAAAAAATCAATCATATTATCTTTAACAGATTTAACGTATACAATGTTTACATGATTAAAAAAAAACAAAATATTAATGAAAATGAATTATAAAATAGTATAATTATAAAAAAAATTGATGTTCATTATAGAGATAAATTTATATGAACGTAATAAATGAAACTGGAGAGTGAGAAAATAAATGAATGTAAAATCATAAAAAGGAATTTCAAATATATTAATCTGCTGAAATTGTGATCTTAGCTTTGCGGATAATATATGTGTTTAATTGTTAATTATATGTAATTTAATGTAATAATTTACCAAATTAGTTCATGTTTTTTTCTATTTTTATGATATAGTGCAATTTTTATTGTAAACTATAAGTTTTGAATATATCAAAAAAGTTTATGGCATCATTCTTAAATGTTATTCTTATATTTAATAATATAAGACTATCGAGAGTATTAATATTTTGCAATATTTCTTAATATTATCATATATTGGTTTTCTTTATTAACAAATTTTTTTGTTTTATTTCATTTTTTAACATTAAAATTTTTAAAAACTTTTCTTTAAGAATGTGTACAATTTTTGTGTATTTAATAAAGAAAGATTTGTACAAAATTGTTTTTTCATAAATATTATCCATAAAGTTTTCATGTAAATTATAATTATAGTTATTTAAATGTAACAGTAATAATATAATTTTATTAATTGTAACCAGATAAATATTGAATCGAATATAGAAGCCCAAGGACCAATTCACGTCTTTCTTCATAAGTTGACTGATATTTTGGCCAATGCGGAAGATGGTAATAAACATGTAAGCATTTTTTTCAATATATTCTACAATTTATTATTGTATGTACGTAATATTATTATTTATATTTAAATAAGTGTATATAAATTAATTTTACTCTGTAAATATTCAATGATTTCTTGTTATACTAATATAAAAAAATTATTTGTTATGTAATTTTTATATTATATTAATTCAATTATGAGCATGTGCGTGAACATACATATATTTTATTTTTGTGTAGGCAAGGGATATTGTTACAAGAATACAAGAATACATTCAAAAACATCCAGAATTGATTGTGATAGATCCATTGGAAAATGTTCGAAATTTGCGAAATCGTCATCAATCGTATGAAATGATATATAATAGTGTACAGTTTGAAGGTCATTTAATTTTTATTTTAAAAATAAAATAATATATCTCAATAGTGATTAAATAATTTATTTTACATTTTAGATGATGTGTTTATTCCTAATTTTGTTGAAATTAAATCTAAAAATATTTTAGAGATAATGAATTTATTTAGAGAAAACCAAATAAAATTTCCTTGTGTTTGTAAACCTCTTATTGCTCAAGGTTCAAGTAACGCACATAAGGTAAAATCATAATTTATTATAATATATTTTAGGTTACAAATAAAATATTTTGTGATAATATTATATTAATTACATAGAACTTGTATTATTTGTTTACATGGTATATATATTTTTTATTTAAAAAATGTATTTACTTACCAAATATCTGTATATTGCCCTTCATACTTTTGTAATAATTATAATTTTATTTCTAGATGATGGTAATTTTTAATGAAAAGGGTCTATTGGACTGTCAACCACCATGTTTAGTACAAAATTTAATTAATCACAATGCTATTTTGTATAAAGTGTTTATAATCGATGACCATTTTCACATTATTGAAAGACCCAGTCTTAAGAACTTTTACCCAAAGGATTCTGAATTAATGAATACTATATTTTTTAGTTCTCATGATATTTCTAAAAGCGGTTCCAATTCAAAATGGTCCGTTATATTAAAAGAAGAACAAAGTTTTACTGTAAAACCAAAATTAGAAATTTTTGAAAAAATTGTAAAAAAAGTTGAACAAATTTTTGGTTTATTCCTAGTTGGAGTTGATGTAGTTATTGAGAATCATACAGAAAAGTATGCTATAATCGATGTTAATGTTTTTCCTGGATATGATGGTTATCCAAATTTCTTTAATCATTTAGTAAATACTATAAAAAAATTATTAAAAGAGAAAAGAGGTATAAAATATGACAAAAGTCCTTTGAAAAAAAGTCTTAGTAGTGATCTGGATTCTGGTTTCGAAAGCGATGAGAAAAAGAAACAATATCTACTATAATAATTATATTATCTATATTATTGAATAGTAATTTTGAATATATTTAATGTTTCTATAATTCATTTTGTTTTTCGTTCAGTGTAAAATTTGTAATGTTTAAATTCATTTTTTCTGTATATAATATATTTCAGATTTTATAAAGTTATTAAAATTGTTCTGTCATTTTTCTCATTTTACTCAATATTTTTAAATTCATTGATTTTTTAAATTTTATCGAAGTTTTTAAATATGTAAATAAGTATACGAAATAATAATTAAGTTTATTTTATAAATAATGAATATAGTAATTTGTATTATTGATTTTGTACATTCTTATATCAGTATATTTCATACAAATAAAATCTTAAAAATATTTTGTTTATTACAGGTTGTTTTCTTTTTTACAAAATCCTTATCAATTTAAAAATTGCATATATTTTTTATATACAATAAAGAAACGATTATAATTTTAAAAATTATTTAAAATTTTAATTTTTAGTTTTACTGCAACATGGTTTCGGAAATATATTTTCTCTTTGTTTTTCCTTTTCTTTTAATTTTTCTTCATTCAAAGCTTTTTGTTTAATCCACGCTTCAACTGAAGCAAGAATTTTAAGATTAGGTTTACTTTGTTCATCTTCTGGAAAGACAAATTCGAATACTTCTTCCCAGCCAACGTCATTCTAACAAAAATAAATAATTTGAAATTATATGAATATAAATTTTGGTTTAAATTATAGCAAAATTAATGTACTGACTCCATTTTCAGTAACTAATCGTTTCCTCTGTTTAATTCTTCGAGGCATCTTAGTGACAATTTTGGCCCGATTTTCTTCATCGCCAAATTCATTTTCAAAATCTCTCCATGATTCTAAGAGCAATACTCTGCTTTCTTTATCACCATTAGATTTCAACGAGTCATTTCCTCTTTCATAAATTCGTCTAGCCAAGTTAATATTAATAATTCCTTCGTTAGGTGCGGTATTAGTCATTTCAAATTTAGCAAATGCTATCCAAACCTATAATTTTGACAAAGCATATTAAAATCTATAAAACTAATTTTTAAATATAAATTATTGATTTATTAATATTTTAATTATTGATATTAATTTAATTTAATAATAATAATATTTATAAAAAAATATAGTTACATTTTTAATGTTTCACTACATTTTGACATGTATATAATATTCTAGTCAAATGATAGAATTTCTATTTTTTAATCAATTTGCTTATTCAAAATTATATTATAACATATTTTTTACAATTTTGGTTAATTTTTGAGTATTAAAAATCCGTACCTTCACATGTAACGTCCGTTCCAGCAATCTTTCATACAGATATCTTGCTTTCTCTGGTTCATCCTGTGATATTTCAAAATCAATATATGCTTTCCATAAAACTTCTGGCATATCTAATCTGTAAGTATTTAAGAGTAAAAATATGGTTGCTTTATTAATATGAGTTAAAAAATTAATTTATCGCTTTTACCTCGGTTGATTTATCGCTAATTCATAAATCGCTCTAGCTCTCTCCATGTCACCTAAAGATGCTTCTAATTCTGCAAACTAAATAAAATACTTAAAAAAATTTATGAATAAATATTTTAATTTATAAACATATATACTTTTAACCATGTTGTGCAATTTTCTGGACCTAATTCGAGAAATTTTTTATATAAAATTCTACATCTATCAAACTCACGTAGTTGAATTTCTAAATCAATATAACCACGATATAACTTATCTCTTGGACAAATTCCAAGAGCCATACCCTGTAAAAAAATTATATTTTTAAATTAATTTAAGAATAAAATAATCATTATGGGTATTATAGAACTGAACTAACCAATGTTTTTCTGGCAATAGAAAGATTTTTGTGTCTGATTTCAAATTGAGCATAATACAGCCAAATTTTTGAAAATGTGAAAGATTTATGTGGTATTAATTCTAAACATACTCTAAAATTTTTTAATTATTATATGTAAAAACTAAAATACTAATTACATTAACACATATATATCATATATAAAAAATTCATACTTATAAACTTGGCGACATCTTTCTACATCTGCTACTTGAAGTTCTTCAAATAAGGCATAATTTATCCAAAGATAGATATACCTTCGCCAAAATTCTTTATCCTTAAAAGCAATACATTATTTGATTGACAATTAGCAATACATTTCTATGAAATATACAACACAAAATATCTTTTCTAACCTTTGTTGGTGGTACATTTGCTATTGCTCGTTCATAAGTTTCTCTTATAATATCAATATTTCCATCTGATTCTACTAATCTTAAATAATCAAACCATGCATCATAATTTGATGGATTTTCTTTGACTTCTTGCTCATATTGATATTTTCTCTTACTTACAATTACATTTTCAATACCTATAAAAATATAACTAATAAGTTTTTGTAGATTAAATGCATGAAAATTAAACATAATTTAATTTACCAAAACGGTCACCATATTTTTTTTCATGTATTGTGTAAGCTTTGTAAATATCTTGTGTTTTTTCTTTTGGAATGTGATTCAAAGCATACTTGTATATAACTCTAGCTCTATCATGCTAAAAATAAAATTTTTATTTTATTAAATAAATATATTTAATTTAATTATAATTTAATCAGTTTATAAAATTACTTCTCGCTGTCCTTCCTCAAATTTTGCAAAAGCTATTATTAACCTTTCTTCTAAGTTTTCATCACCAAAAAATGTTACTGCTCTTTCATATACTTTTCTAGCTCCATTTATATAGCCATGAGATTCTTCAAATTTAGCGTACTTTATCCAATGCATTATTTCAGGATGAACCATAACAAATCGTTCATAAATTTGACGAGCTCTTTCAAGTTCTTTATATCGTAATTCAAAATTAATATATGTTTGCCATCCTTGTTCATGTGGTTCCCATTCCATCCATCTCTCAAATACTTGTCTTGCTCCAGCTATATTTTCTAACATTTCCTCCATGTATGTGTATTTGTACCAAAATTGATTTACTCTCGGAAGTATTGTTACTGCTCTATCCCATAAGTTTCTGGCATGATTTATTTGTCGATTTCGCATCTCCATTTCAGTATATTTTAACCATAATACTACATTTCTGTGATCTACATCTAAAGATCGTTCATAAATTGATCTAAAAATATATTCCATATTAAAATTTGTTTCCTTAATAATTTATTTGTTTGTTCATTATTATTATTATTATTATTATTATAAATAAAAAAGAAAATTTTAATTTAGTTTTATAAATTAGTATATATATATATATGTTTAAGTAACATAATAAATAATCACTAAAAATCAAGATTTAGCATAAAATTAATGTTACCTTGATCTTTCAATTTGTTTTTGACTTTCTTCCCAATGTGCATATTTAATCCAAGTTGCGATAGATAATCGGTTCTTTCTAATCGAATCTTCAAATGTCTTTCGTTTACGATGTTGATAATCAGCTAATTCATGAGGATCAGAAATTTTTTGTTTTGGAGGCTTTAGATTAGAATATCAAATTTATTAATTTTACATTAATAATATTTAAAATAGTTGTATTTTAATTATATTTAAAAAATATTACAAACCGGTGGTAGAATTTCTAGATCACGTTCTTTAGCTTCACGAAGAAGTTGTTCTGCAGTAATTTGAATTTCTGCTGGAGCTTTATTTTTGACCTATAATATAAAACTTTGGTTGACACATTTTTTGATAAAATATTTGTATATTATATTATTTATTTTGTTTCAAAAAATGGTATTTAGATTTAAAAATAAATCTGTAGATAGATTTTCATTTAAATTGAAATCAATATTCTAATTAAAACATTTTTATGTAACAAAAAACTATTACAAAAATTACAACAATTAATTTTGGTAAAATTTATAAATAAATTTAATGGTATTAAATATTAATTTTCATTGTCGTGTAAGATTTGAAAATCATAACTTATAATGAATTCTTCAATACCTTTGCCACTTTGGGCATTTTTTGAGGTTTGTCCATTGATAACTTTATTTGAATTACTCAAATGAATTTTCAAATGTTTTAAAACTTTTTCTTATTTTAAATATTACACAAATATAATCTTACAAATCCAAATACTAAAATTAAAAAGTAAGTCATATAAAGCAATGACCGATTTTTATATTATGGATTCTAAGGAATGATAGTTTTAGATTGATCGATCATATGCGTATTTAATTAAAATTTTAATACAATAATAAATTGAATAGAGGAATTTAATCAAACTCAAAATACGGTATGGCTGTAAAATTTTGAAATATAATAGTTAAATTTTTTTGATAAAAGTAGTGAACATATTTCAAAATAATTATGAAATATAAATAAGTAAAACAACTTTTAAAAATTATATATTATTTATTACTATTGCTAACATATTTTGTAAACTTTAATAAAGCCAAGATAAATTTATAAGATCGTGGAACAACGTAAATACTTAGAGTGTTATGCAGCAAAACAATAAGTATGAAGTTAGTTGCACGGCTTTTTTGAATGTAAGCAATATAAGGCGGTCATTAGTAGGATACTTAACTGTTGATTTAATTATTTTATTATTTTATAATTAAATTATATTTGATCAATTTAACAATAAATTGACTTTTTACATAATTGAGATGATTATCGAAATAATTATTGAATTAAAGAAGGCATGTTATACCAACTTATTGACATTATTTTACATATTTACATATTACAGGATTTTTAATTATTTTTCTATGGTTAGAATAAATAAAATATTCAATTGAACAAACAAAAAACAAAAATATTAAAGATAAATACGAAAAATAAATGAATGTGAAAATAATTAAATAGCAACACTAGTTTCAATTGCTGTTCAGACTATTTTTATTATTACCAATATTTAATTTATAGGTTTATTTATACAGTTAAAATGAATAATTTTCAATATTTTTAATTTTTTTAATAAAAATAGTAGTTTTTTTTCTGCGTATGAATAGATGAAAGAATAGAATATTTTTCACTCATATTTAAATTTTCGTTCAGTTTTTACATATGTCTATGCATACGATAATAAGGTACTCTATTTTGTTCTTGAACTTTTTAATCGTGTGATTTAATTATTTTTAAATTCTCATAAAGATATTTTTCTGATGAAATTTTAAATATACATGTTCAGCTTATGAAAGGAAAAAAATAAGTTAATTTTATCAATATTCTTAATAAAAATGAATCAAATCGAGAAAATGAAAGAAAAGAAAAGCGAAAAAAAATGAGACATTACTGATGTTAAACGTTTATAAAAATGATAAGAATACAAAAGGAATAAAAGCTGAATTCGGTGTATTAATGAATTTTCATAAATAAAACTAGTAACAAAGTCAATAATAGCAGATTTAATTAATTGATTTAATTAAATACGATACTATATTATTATAAATCATAGGTTTGTTTTCAGATGCGGATATTTAAGCAAAATAGCTTCTGAAATATGTATGCTTCATAAGAATAGGACTTTAAAATATTCATGTCATTATCAACTATCAAATTAAATGTTCGAAAATCAGGATTTATTTATTGTTGTAATCCTTTAGTAAATCTTTTATATAGTTCATTACATAGTACAATTCGAAATCGATAGATTATTTATAATAAGTAGGTTGAATGATTCGGATGAAATGGCTAATAATTGGAGAATGTAAAAATATAAATAAAAAACTAAGTTATTGCAATAAATACTAAATAGAATTTAACATTTTTTTTTAAATAGAAGACATTCATAATTATATGTATTTATAATTTTTTTACTTATTTATTTTAAATATGTTAATACATTTTTAAATACGAAGTGATGTTTATAATATTCGCTGTATCTTGCATACTATAGTAATATTTATTTGTATATCATAAGAACAGGATGCAATTTACTTTTACAAGTGGATATAAAATGTAATAAATTACCTAATATGTTCGATTTAATGGAATAATTGCAATATTATTTGTCAGAATAAATTAATAACAGATTTTACGTTCGAATTGTATATTAAATATGTATTAAAAAGCAATGATCTTGCACTGAAAATATTGTAGAGATCCATTGCTGCTATTAAGGAATAATTGTATACAAGAGTCAGAACCGAAATTTAAATAAAATAAAATAAAATAAAGATGTTGTAAAGATATTAATAATTTCAGAGATCATTTTTGTGAAATCTATCCCGATATCCATTGTCACCAACATTTTTTATGTTCATTTTGTTTTCTATAACGATAGGAATAACAGAGATTTGGATTGTTTGTTTTGAATCAATCTGAACTTATTTAAACGGAAATTCGAATTTTGTTATTGTTTTCAATTTTATTTTTTTATTTCTATTAATTTTCAATTGTTCTTTCTTTTTTCTGCCTTTTTGTTCAAGTTATTTGTTTGATTGTTTGTCCTCTAAATCGTGCAAGAAATTTACATTATTATATAGTTATAAGCATATTGATGTTGTAGATGAGTAATATTTCTTTAATAAAATATTAATGATTTTCTATTAATTATATATTAACAATGTATTAATTATATATATATATATATATATATTAATTTAACTTTCAAAATAAAACATTATCATTGTGATTTAGTTTAAATTTAAGCAATTTTTAGTCTTAAATATTTTATTCTAAATTAAAATAAAATTCTAAATATCTCTCAGAATCTAAATTATTATTTAATTTTCATTTGGTACATTCTTTTATCAAATCTCGTCCTTTCTTTTTTTTATGACGATTTGAATCAAACGTGCATATATTAACCAACCTGGTAAAAATAAATTCATCATTGTAGTTCTGAAGATTATTTGATCATTGCATTGCTTACAAAGGTGACACTAATCGAGAAATTAAAATAATCTAATGACATTGGCTTGAATATTCTATTTACCAATGGTGAATAATATTATATTAAAATTAGAAATTATAAACTAGAATCATAAATGATAAAGAAAGTTTAAATAAAGCTAAGTATTCGGAACGTATGCAAGCATATGCTTATTTTAATTATTTATTAATAAGGTGCTCAGTATGAAATACGTGTAGTATTCATATATCTTTATAAAATTAACTAGATATATGATATTTAAAAAAATAAGTATAACTGTATTCCCTTGTGAAAATTTATTTTTATTTTTATTCATTCTATTATAATATAAAATATTGGGATTAAATTATAATTTATTTTAAATAAAAATTTTAATTATATTTATGTTTATAGTAAAAAAATTCACTAAGTAGTCAATAAAGCTAATGAATGTATTAAAATATATGTCTTTCATTAAATTTTTATCAACAAATATTCAATAAAATATAATCAAAATTATAAAAATAAATATAAAATTTATATTTTTAAAATATACATTCAAATATAAAAATGAGATTCATTATACTTATACTTTTTTATTTACGAATAAATAGAAAAATATTTCATAATCTGTTTCGAATAATGCTTTATTATTATAATTCATTATTTCAACGCCTAAACTTGTATATTGAAATTGAAAAGGCAATATATTAAGATTTTTATTACGCATGCCTCCGAAAGGCACTCTATTAATGCTTTTTGGTTCTAGTACGTTTTACTATGGAATTCAGTAGTCCTCTTAGTGTAGTTGATAGTTTAATATATTTGTATTTTGGTGAGCGCTGTCACAGTTATATGTTGGCAAGATGGCAGAAAAGGTAGAGAGTATTACTTCAACTTTTGAAAATACAACGGAGAGTAGCAATGCGATGGGAAAAATACCATCAACACCTGAAGGAATGGCTATTGCTTATGGAAGTCTTGTTATTATGGCCATATTGCCGATATTTTTCGGTAGTTATCGTTCCGTCAAGCACCATAAGGAACAACAGGTTAGAATATTCTTTATAATTTATTTCAACATGTGTTTTAAAAAATCAAACCTTAATTACTTGTAGTGGTTGTATCTGTTTTATTTTTCCATCCCCGATACGCATTTTTTTCATTTTTAATTCAAGAGTTCGTTTTACATTATTATTTTACTATCCTATATAAATTAGAAATTAATACTGAAACTTCCAAATGATTTCTTTATGATATATATTTTACTTCTTTACATTGATTTATAATATTGCGTGTTAATTTATAACTTTTGCCTATAAATTTATTTCTGTTGATGAAATTAGAAAAAATTTGAAATTAGTGGAGAAAAACCAGGGATTATGACTCAAAAGGATGCAGCTATGTTTCCATTTATTTCTAGTATGGCACTATTTGGACTTTATATATTTTTTCAGGTAATTTTAAGAGTACCATTAATATTATCAATAATTTAATAATTATATTGTTTTATTTTAGTTTTTTAAGGAGTATATCAATCTTTTGCTTACTGGTTATTTCTTTGTTCTTGGTATTTTAGCTCTTTGTCATCTTTCAAGGTAAAACAAAGTCATTTTGTAATTAATCAATATGTTTAATTGTTAATTTTGTAGATTATTATTATTTAATGTTATATCAATTATTCTAGTCCAGTTATTACATCTTTAGTACCTACAGCTATTCCTAAGACTCAATATCATTTGCAATTAGCAAAAGAAAATGATGATATTATAAATTATAAGTTTAATCTTCATGATTTAGTATGTTTGGCATGTTGTTCCATAGCTGGGGCTTGGTATTTATTAAAAAAGGTAATATTACAATAGTTATTTTAAAGTAATAATTAAATTTGTTATGATTTAATTATAAATTAAAAATATTTTGATGTATCTAAAATTTATTTTTATTTATAAAAAGATATAGATTATTCAAATTATTTACTTAGATAATATATAGTTATTTTTACAATTATAAAACGTAAATTATCAAGATTTATATTAAAAAAAAATATGTACTTGAAAAAATCTAAAAATAGTTATAAAACATTTATTCAAAATTGAAAATCGCCTGATTTAATAATTTACAATATTAATATACATAATTAATATTGTAATTACAATACAATATTAAGCAAAAATGTATTTTTTAGTTCAAATAAAAAATTTTATTTCATAATTTATTTTTTTACAGCATTGGATTGCTAATAATTTATTTGGAATCGCATTTGCAATTAATGGGGTTGAGCTTTTGCATTTAAATAATGTAGTAACTGGATGTATTTTATTGTGTGGACTTTTTGTTTATGATATTTTTTGGGTTTTTGGAACAAATGTTATGATAAGTGTTGCTCGTTCATTTGAAGCTCCCATTAAATTAGTATTTCCTCAAGATCTGTTGGAAAAAGGACTAAATGGTAATAATTTTGCCATGTTAGGTTTAGGAGACATTGTTGTACCTGGAATCTTTATTGCTTTATTATTAAGGTTTGATCATAGTCTCAGCAGAAAATCAAATACTTATTTCTATGCAACATTTTTTGCATATTTGATGGGTTTACTCATTACTCTACTGATTTTGCAATTGTTTAAGCATGCTCAACCTGCTCTATTATATTTAGTTCCTGCTTGTCTAGGAACTCCACTCATGGTAGCACTGGTTAAAGGAGATTTAAAAGCTTTATTTTCGTAAGTTATTTAAATAATTTTTGTAAAATGTAAAAATTAATGTTTAATTATTTGAATTTTTAAGAAATTCGGTATTATGTATTATTTTTTTAAATTAATAATTAAAGTGTTTTAAATCAGCATTCAATGTACTTATAAATAATTGAAAAAATTTGTCAGATTTATAAATTATAACAATAAATATTTCATATAAAGAATTGTCATTTACATGTATATACATATATATATATATATATATATCTATAATTTTAGATATGAGGATCATCCGTCAGTTACTAAAGAACACTCACTGCAAACAGAGAATAGAAAAGAAAACTAAAACTATATATTCCAATGATAATTATAATTCATGAAATGTCTGAGTTAAAATAAAAATGTTCATATTTCATAATAAAATTAATAGATAACTCAGATTGAAAGAGAAATTCAAGTGGAAATATTAGCTTGTACAATAGCTATAGATTTCGGTTACTTACTGTAACCGAATAAAAACGTAAATGCTATTTCCAAAAATTACGTACAACTTTAATTAAGTCGTTCGTTTCACTTTATTTTTAACATATTAATCCTGAATTTTTAAATGTAGATATAAAAAATATATAATTAATTTAATTTTTGTTTAATATCAAGTTTTATAATTAGATATACAAATGTGAATTATCATAAAATATTTCGATCCATTCCAATTTTGTTAAAATTAAATATTGATTAGTTGCTTAATTATGATAAATTTATTAAATTGTAATAATTATAACTTTCTAAGTATTCATTACTTGAGTATTAAAGAAAATATTTTTGTCAAAATATTACTAGCTTATTATTTTTAATATTGGTTTGAAAATAAGTGTAAAGTTTAATATAAAAATAAACAGTAATTGTTGAATGGGAATTTATCATTTATAGATTTAAGTAATACTGACATTTACATTCAATTTAAATTGGTGTCCTTTTAATATATATTTATGATTACAAACTAATTTAAAAAAAAGAAGCTATGCTTATATCAATTATAATGAATTGTTAAAATTTTGTTAATATTTATAATTTATTTTGATAGTATAGTTAAGAAAACTCATTTACAAATATTGTTAATACAATTTTATATAATTACGGCTTTATTAATATTCTTTGTATCATGAAATTCTAATAAATTAATTATATATTATTATAAATAAATATATTGTTCACAAAATTTTGAAGTATATCTATGCAAGATAATGATTAACAAAGCAAATACTTAAAACAATGAGCTTACTTATCTACTAATTTTTGTAAAATTAAAGAAAATTTACAATTACCAGTTTAGTGTTTCCTATAATTTAAACAAAATGTATCAAATTTAAAATAATTATGAAATTGTGGTTTTACGAAACAATAATATAGTGTGAAATAGTTGAAGTGATTGTAATATGAAACATTAATTATAAATTATAATGAAAATAAAATCACAAATATAGAATATCTATACTATTTAATTTTTTTATAAATTTTTGATATTTTCCAATGCATTTATCACTTTCATCATTATAAGTTTTAAAATAACTTTTATTTCTTATTTTTTAAGTTATAAGAAATGTGATTTTACAGATGTAGTGGATTTTCATATAAAATAAAATACTTAATATTCATATTCTGTCAACATTTTCAATAGCTAAGTTCTGAGCTGTTATTGGTAATAATTCTGAAATCCCATTTTTGGATATTTTTTGAACTTTAAAATTAGGAAGATTAACAATTAATCTTTTATGAATTTCTCGAATACATTTTTTCAGCAAATCATAACCTTCATTTTCTGATAAATCTGTAAAGAATTTTGTTTTAATAATGTTAAGAAAATTTGTATTTTATTTTGCCAAAAGAAATTGTTGGAAATAAATATTTTTTAAATATACTAAAAATATAATTCATAATTAGTCAATAAGAATTTTTTTAATTAAACATTTAACTTACTATTTTTATAATATCTATCCAAAATAGTAAGCGAAAAGAAACCACCATAACCATGCGTAGCATAAGGTACTTTAACACAAGATGCCAAATAATCAATAAAATATAATTCAGGTCCTGTTTGATCATCATAACCAGCCATAAGCATATTTACAAAATACGGTGATCTTGATCTTAAGTAATCTGCTAAATTTCTTCTAGTAAAATTAGCAGCTGCTTTTGGAGACAATTCATATCCATTACGCATTTTATACAATTGCAAATTTTTACTAATATATTCTGAGAATTGCGTAGCATCGCCACTTTCACCGGATATAGCCATAACAAGTTTACTTGATATTTTATGAATTTTATGTTCGTCTAAAAATTATAAATGTGTAATATTAAATAAATAAAAATATATAAATATCATATATAAATATGTACGTGTTTAAAAAATAAAATTATAACAGGTTAAATTGAATTAATAGATTTCAGAGTACCATTTTTCATAACCATTATTGAAGTTGCGTTCGTCATATCAGCAGCGACTAGAACAAAATCTTTAAACTGAACTCCTATTAAACATTCCATTTTTACAAATCTTTTAGTTTTTGTATATTAACAAATATATATTTTAACACGATGAAGGTTGTAAAGTCTATCAAAAACTGTAGATCATTGTACACTTAACGGCCATGTTTAAAACGAATTTTAAAATGAAAAAACATAATTAAAATATTTTTTAAATTATACATTTAGTTTAATAAAACAGTTTATATATTTTTTTTTCTATGAAAATGTACTTTACTAGAAATGTTTAATAGAATTAATTTAATAGAAACTCAATTTTATAGAAAAAAATATAATTTATGAGAATTTGATTTTTATTTAATAATTTGTTTATAAATTAAATAAAATGATATATATAATTTATTAAGAAATAATTATAAGATTATTTATAAAATAATTATAAGATTTCTTACTAATTATTTAGATTGATTTTTTATAAATTTGCAAATTAAAATAATTCTTTAATTTAGTTAAATTTTAATCTTTTTATAAGTATAGTATATTAATATAGTAAATTAATTAATTAAATGAATAAATCAAATTTAATCCTTTTTAATATAGTTTAAAATATTCTTATTTCTAGCAAAAACATTGAAAAATTTTATTTAATAGTATAAAATTTTGGAAACTATTAATTTTATTTAATGCCGGTAGAGGCTAATAATAAACACGAGGATATTCCTTATATCAATGTTATTATAATATTTTATATTTATAATGTTATGATAAAAGATCTTATTTTGGTTGAACAAATCTTTCTTTTGATTGGATATAGTTGCATTTTAGTATTGAAAATAAATTATGTTACAAAATTCGAATTTATTTCAAAAATGAAGTTTGAAGATATTTTAAACATATTTTATTTTAAAAAGTGATAGCAATATATAAATAAGTAATACCGATTTTGAATTAAAATTTTTTTTTTTAATAATAATTATAGTTTAATAATTAAGTTGTTTGCATGCATAGACTCCACATATATATAGCCCAGAATAGTATTGTGAAAATATTTTCATAATATTTGTACGTAAATACTCAATATAAATTTTCATTCTACAAAGTTTTAATAATTGTTATATTTAATTATTAATAATTTAATAATAAATTATCTTTTTACTATATGAGGTATAAAATCAGCTTTACGTATTACGATCATAGATAACATTAGACCAATAATTGTCAATAATTACAGTTTGTAGACTGGCAACAAGTTTGTCAATTTTTTTTAATTATATGTGTAAAATTGTGATCGGTATAAACTACTGGTATTTTTTATTAATTTTATCACTAACAATCATAGAATACAAATTGATTTATTCATATTTAATAAAATATGCTAGCAGTTTACTAATGGCATATTTTTAATTAATCTAAAATCATTGTATATTGATTTAATTGGTAAAAATAAATTTTAAAGTTGTGCATGCCAGCAAAATGTATGCACATTAAGGGAGAAACTTTTTGCAACTAACGAGCAAGTTGAAAATATGTTATAATCATAAGACCAATTTCATAATTGTCTGGGACCAGACTAAAAAATCTCCCGGTGTTGTTAGGTGGGCGGAATTGCTGACAAGTGGAAGAGGCAGGCGCATTTATTCAATTCAACACACAGCGTATGAATTTTTGACACAAAATTGGTGAAGATATAATATGCGATATATGTGAGGTCTGAGACTTTATGAGCTTAGTTGAATATAACATTGTTTATTTAATTCTCTATTAGAAATATTTAAACTGCATTTAAGTTCCATAATTCATTTTGATTAATATTTTCTTGCGAGGGGAAAGATTTATATATATTAGTACATTTATTAATTCTTGTTCATCAGTGGGCCTAAATTAATTGAATTAAATTCAACAATTTGTTTATTATTCGAACTGTTGATAATTTCAAATTCAATGTCGGTTTTATTGGATTTCTTCAATATATCGTCAAACATACTGTGTTCTGGGCTGGAAATAATTGATATTAGGCTTAGATTCATAATTTTATTTTGACTTGAGCGATTTTCATTGTAAGTAAATTGATCTATGTCTTGATTAAAGTTTTGACAATAAATTTTTGATGCGAATAAAGTTTAATCCTTAGCTGGGCAAAATGTCTCTGACTGCCAAAGTTTTCTAATTTCAGCATCAACTTTGTGATTTTGTTTTTCTGAATCATTAATAGTTGTATTTTCAAGTTGAGCATCGCTCATCGAGGATGATAAAGTGGAGTTTTTAATTATGTTTGAACTACTTATTTTTATATATTGATCATCCAAATAAATTTGGAAATTCGTATCCGAAAATTCATTTAAGTTATACACTTCATTACCATTTGAAAATCCTTTATAATTTTTAAATTCAGCATTATACTTAATTTTATTCATTTTATTTAAATTTTCTTCTTCTAATACATCCTTTTCAATCTTATTGATAGCTCTTTTATGTACTCGACTTTTATTTCCATCATTCAATAAATATATAAAGGAATCATTTTTATATTTTTCAAGGAAGGGATTTTGTTTTTTCACCTTATAGTCTGGAGTGTCAGTTTCAGAATCTGTATCAAAAATGCCTTTAGCATTTTCTTTATAAACTTTGTCAATAAATAAATTTAAATTGCTTTTAAGCTCATACAGATTTTTCTATTCAATTTAAAATGATCATTACATTTTGAAGAAGTTAATAAAGTATTTATTTAACTTTTATTTTTAGTTCTTATTTCATCTAACATATCATCCGCTGGAATGTCTGTATGAACTGATTTTTTTGGTGTAATATAGTCATTTAATTCTGATTATATATTATGCTCTGGAGTTATAGCTTCAGTTATTTTATCAATTTCAGATTTATCCTTTGTTGAAATAATATCTAAATATTTATCCGATTTATTCTGGAGATGATGTGATTCGTCTATCAAAATCATTTTTTGCAATCTTCAGGAAATATAGGTAAATCATATATTTTCGGGAAGTTTATTGTTTCTATTATTTGTATTTCAGGAGAAACAGTTGTTGTAATATCGTCTATTGATATATTCAGTGAAACTTGTTTAGTATTTACATTACACTCGCAATTACAAACCTGCACTTTATATAATTTTGCTAGTTGTTTAATTTCGAGCATTAAATGAGCTATAAATGAATTCTAAAAATGCTGGAGCAGAAAGTTGATCGTTCTTATACCAAGAAATTTTATTTTTTATATGAGGATGAGTATTTCAATCATTTTGCTCTAAATCAGCCAAAATATTTCTGTATTGCGCATAGAATACTAATTTACGAGCATAAGTGTATTATTATCTTTTATTAAAATAATAATAGCACTTTCAGTACTATCATTTAATTTTCCTCCCCAATTATAAGTAATGGATGTTTTAAAGTCCTATTTTGTATAGTCAGTTTAGATTCATTAATGACAACATTATTTAGTCATTTTTCTTGATTCAGTTTGAATTATATTAGATACAATACCCGCCATTAGTTCGTATACCACTGATATATTTAATAAAATATCTTCTTCAATATCTTTTATATCATTATGAATATCCGACATTACTCGTTCATTTTCATTTTTTGTCCCACAGTTTGCCAAAATTCTGAATGTTTGAAGTCATGAGATAACATCGCTACTGAACATGCAACTATTGGGGCCATATTACTCAACTTTAGATCAGAATAATAGCTATCGTCGATTAGACGACACTATGGAGAGGTGTGTTGGATATTCCCATTTTTACAGCTTTGAATCTAATGCTGTCCATTCCATGAATGGTTGTAACTCATAATTTGTAATTTCCCTCTATTAGATATTAGCCATACTCTCGCATCTTTTACTGACGACCTGAAGCATATCAGGACTATACAAGACGGCAGTTTCATAAATTTTATATCTTCTCTAGAATAAAAGGTTTGATTTCTGAATGATATGAATGCTTCTGTAAATAGTTTATAAAGTGCTGCTTAGATTGAAGACTTGTAATTTGGACTAGCTTACTCTCTTTCTCTCTCTCAACAGCTTATCAAACCATCCCATAGATAAGTCAAGACCTCTTATCTTTGACATAAATTAAAATGCAGATTTTTTCTCTAATAAATGATGGTATAACTTATCAATTTGACTCAACTTCTTTCTTAGAAGTAATAGTTTACATTATAGTATTTTATGCACTTGTATTGAGCCTTATTTGATGACTTTGCCGTGGTGGTGCTGAGAGTCATACGTTTTTAGTTTGGGGTTGATGATTCTTAAACTTCTTTTTTCTTGGGTTGACATCTTGTGGTAATTGAGAGAGAGAGCAACAGTGGGATACTTACAGTATTGAAGTGATTTCTTGAGTTGCGACTCAAGTGTCGTGATTCAGTATGATTGCAATGTATGATGGATATAGCTGAGCTTCTTTTCTGCTGTATTAGTATTGAACGAATGCACTGACTCCCACTTATCCGGCTCGAAGGACCACAATGTCTGGGTTAGGTGATGTTAGGTGGGAGGAATTACTGGCAAGTAGAGGAGGCAGATGCATTAATTTAATTCTACACACAGCTTATCTTGGTTTTTTATTTTCTATTATTTTTATTTTTTATTTTATTTTCAGACTACAATGATATGATTATAAAATGGTGTGTATAGAATTATATTGATGGCAATCGTGAAATGATTATAAATCTTTGAAACTCCTTCAGTGATTTTCACGTGGAAATGGAATTTTCAACTCGCAGCAGCATGAGGTATAAGTCTCGCTACTTCTTTGAGTAGTACTACGTGTTGATGACGATTTAATAACTGCTCCATGAAACCGAGTCGAATAGTGTCAACTGAGGCCGGTAGTGGAGCCTCCTTGTGATTTCAATTTATGCTCTTGCAGCCGGTGGTTTCTCGTACACCGTTAGCCGTTTTATGCCCTGGTTGCCGTTGCTTAATAGTTTCAAGTGCGGCCGTTCGTGGGATCTTCGGAACTGATTTCTGTTTTACTAGACACGTGCTAAGCTGTCGCTGGTGCGCCCTTGCTATGTAAATTCTCCCTTTAGTTTCATGGTAATGTGTTTGTCTTACCTAAATCTAGTAATTCAATTAATATTCAATCTTGAATTACACTTAGCACTCGTGTCTGTTTGAATACAATCGCACTTA